CCCCCCCCCAAAAAAAAAAGGGAGAAAATAAAATGAATTTACTGAAAGATGTGAATCAATGTGAAATTGAAAACTAAAACTAATTTTATGACACTGGTTGTAATCACCTCAGCCTTTTTATTTTATTTTATTTATTTCCACCGACATTCTTTGGGCCAAGGAAGAACAGCAGCAAGAATYGTGCTGCCTGCAGTCAAGCAGATCTGAGGACACAGAGAGGCAGAGAAAAAAAAAAGCCACTTGCTGCTGCAAGAAAAAATAAATAAAAAAAGCAGCCTGCAACGGATAACAAGTCCCACCAGAACCTGTTCAGCATCCATGAAGCACAGAGGCAGCAGGAGAGGGAAAGACTTTTATGCACAGAAACAAATCATCAAAGGCCTTTTCATTTTTGGCCTATACGTAAACAAATCTTCAAGATTTAAAAAAAATGATTTGCTCAGATTTTACTCACAATTATGCCTCACAGTCAGACTGCAAAGCTTCAAAAACCACCTGATTAAATTTCCAACACAGGTCCTCACTGCAGGACTGAACCAAACCAGGTTCAAGTTCAAGTTCAAGCTTTTTTTTTTTTTTTGCACTGATCCTTCTGGAACAGTGAAGTGCCCAGCCTGTTGGGGAGGGGCACTATTTATGAGGGGCTGGGGGTTTGTAATAAACTCACCAGCTCAAAAATATAATAGGAAATACATGCAAAAAAAAAAAGAAGTGAGCTTGTTTTATTCATTCTGTTTTCTTGGATAATTTTATATATATTTAAGTACGCAGCTATGTTGTTCACATAGTACTGCAATAGCCACGTTGTTTATTAAGCCTGACAACCTGCTTTACGGTTCTTTAAAATTAAGAGAGAAAATAGTTCAAAGTCTGCGCCAGAAGCCCTAATTAATACCAAGACTAAAAACGCCCAAACAAGATCGCCAAACTCCACCAGCAGCCAGCAAACCAATAAAAAAGATGACAAACTATAGCACTTGCAACACCTTTTATTATATTTGTATGCAGTAAAATTCTTATCACAATAATGAAGAAAACACCTCTTAAAACTTTTAACAAAAAATACAAATAAAAGCACAAAACGGAACAACTGCCCCCAATGCCCCAGCTTGTCATTGTACATATTTATAGTCAAAGAAACATTCTTTATAAATACTGTGTCATCTGTAGCAAGTAAATACCATAATTTAATTACAAATGGGATAAATATGGCAGCTGATATTTACACACACTCGCACACACACACATACAAAAAGGAAGTGTGTTACAGAAAGAAAATTGGCTAAAAAATAAAGAACGCCACGACTGTTTATTGTCCTCACAATCTTCCAGATCATATCACAATTTGAAAACTTGCAAAGCACGAAAAAATGAAAATAAAATTTAAAAAAATTAAACATCACAAGTTGAGCCCAGCTAGAGGGGGAAAAATACATTCACAATCATAATTATTGTGGTTTGTGGGGAGTTTTAAATGTTAACTTTGGCACTCTTTCCAGTTTATAGATGTTATAGTACAATCAGTTTGCCTTATAGCATCACAATATTCAACAGTATGGTACAAATTCATGGTAATATGTGCACTAAAATTCCAGTTAAGAGGAGAGAGCTACCTGCAGGAACATCTATACACCAAAGACTGACAAAACTGGCACAACCAATGTGGACTTTTCAGGACTATTTACAACATGAAACACCTCCGATATTAAACACATTTCTCCTGTTGATCACCTGTCCCTGGTGGATTAATAATAATAATAATAATAACAAAAATCAAAATGTTTTGTGTGCCTCTTCCTGTTTCCTGTGGAATGGTTGTGAGATGAGAGTCCTTTACACATACCACTCACTGAAATTGGAGGACAGGCCACTGTGGCTGGTGGGGTTGTGCACGGCGGAGGCCGGGGACAGGGTGGTGTTGCTTTGGGTCTCCGTGGTGGGGGACACAAGGCCCGGGGGTGTGGAGGACTCATAGCCGGAGCTGGCAGCTGGTGAGGAGTCTGACGCTGGTGGGGTGGATTCGTGGACCTGTGAATTATAGAAATAAAAAAATAATAATAAGCACTTGCAAAATTATAAATTAAAAAAGCACGCTTGGGAGACAAGTTGCAATGATGTTGCTATAAAAAAAACTGATTTACCTTCATATGTTTTCGTAGAGAGCTGGGATGTGTGTAGGACTTGTCGCACATTTTGCACAGATAAGGCTTGTCCGACGTGTGGACGTGCATGTGCTTCTTCCGGTCACTGCTGTTTGCAAATCTTCTGTCGCAGCCCTCAAACTCACACTGGAATGGTTTCTCTCCTGTTYCAAAACGAAAAAAGAAAAAACACATTTTTACTCATTTAAAACGACGCATGGATGCTGCGTAAATTAGAATAAAACAAAACAAGAAGCGTAGATCTGTGCGTCAAATCTGAATGCTCAAAAAGTTCAATGGCGCCTCTGCTTGTTTTTTTAAACGCTCCTGGTTTAAAACAGGAGACGGGTGTTGCTGTTTAGCCTAAATAATGCGCATACTGGTGATCTGGAAAGGAGAGGGGGGTTGGGAAAGGCGACAAGGCCGTCCTAAGTGGGCCTTTTAGAGGGAGGGGAAGGAAAAAAGGCATGCCATTTGCTGCATGGGAGACAATAAAAATCTAATTAGCACATGATCAATTTCATGGCYCCGCAATGTTTTCCCCCCACCTTCAAGAAAATCGCTCCAAATGCGCAAAAGGCTGCTAATAGTCCCGTCTGGCACCTCAGATCAGATCAGGAGCAAAAAAAATGGGAGGGGTGCGCAGAAGAAAACAAAAGGCTATAGAGAACAGGCGAATCTACACAGAACGGAATCCTCCAACTGAGTCAGATGTTTGATTCGAGACAAGCAGCGATGCTTTTTACGCGCTACACAGATCATCGTCGTGCGCGCGCACTTCCACTACTGTTTGAGTCGTGAATAAAGTTTACCCTAAACATAAAAGTCAGCCAACACTTTTATTATATAATGATAAATAACTATTTCAAATGCGCTAATTAAATACAGAAGTAACCTAAATAATCAAATCTGTAGCTGAGAACATTTTTTATAAATTATATTATATATCTATAATAAGGAATAAATGTTTGAAAACATGTAACTCAGGCTTACCTGTGTGCGTCCTCTTGTGGATCTTTAAGTTTTCCGACCGGGCGAAGACTTTCCCGCAGCCGGGGAACGGGCAGGGGAACGGCTTCTCCCCGGTGTGCACCCGAATGTGGTTCACCAGTTTGTATTTCGCCTTGAACGGCTTGCTCTCCCGGGCGCAGTCCTCCCAGAAGCAGATGTGGTTGGTCTGCTCCGGCCCGCCGACGTGCTCCACCGAGACGTGCGTGACGAGCTCGTGCATGGTGCTGAAAGTTTTGTTGCAGCACTTCTTGGGGTTGCTCAGCTGCTCCGGGTCGATCCACTTGCAGATGAGCTCCTGCTTGATGCACTGCTGCCTCATGTAGCGGAAGAAGGCGCCCGGGTGATGGTGGTGGTGGTGGTGGTGGGCTGCCATGTTCATCCCCATGTTCATATTCATGGAGCCGTACTGGTTGTGCAGCTGCGCGGCCGAGTACGGGTCGGTCCTCGGGCTGGAGACCTGGTGGTACTGCTCGGTGCGTCCGAACACCTCCCCGGGCAGCCCGAGTCTCATCTGGCCGTTCAGGACGTTGGGGGAGGCATGGGAGGCGTGCTGCTCGTGGATCCCGGGGAACAGAATGTGGCTCTGAGTGTCTGTGTGGGAGTGGTGCAGGGACCCCGCCGTGGGGCCAAAAATAGCGTGCTGGCCGCTTGCCGGAGAGGATTCTCCGAAGCCGCGGCTGCGAAACAGAAAGTCCCTGGTGGAGTTGAAAGGGGAGCCGGCGTACGACGTGACATGGGCGGCGTGGGCCCCTAGAGCCGCCGCGGGGTAGCCGGGGGCCTGCGTGCTGAAGGCAGAGCTCTGTCCCGGGGACAGGTCGTGGTTCAGCTTAAAGGCGCCCATGTGCGCGGAGTCCACAAAGCTGTTCTGAGCCAAACTCAAGTCTCTGTCCTGCATTTCGCTCGCTGCTGAGTGATGCCTGGCGAACGAGCCCACTCCCAGTCCGGGGAACTGGTGGCCAGCATCCAGTAACATTATCTCACAGGCAAAAATCTTCTAGTTTTTATTTTTCTTTTAGGCAACTCAAAGCTTGAATATACAACGGGGAGAAAAATCAAATGATGCTGGCAGGCAACGAGTCCAGCTCTAAAAACACCATCGCAGCTCCGCTCATCTTCAAAAACAACCAAAACTTAACGGACAAAATTGACTTCTACTACCTGACTGGTGGCCAAAAATAAATGAGGAAAAAAAATCCAATGAAAAGAAAACGAAGAGTTTTCTTGTGTCCTCTCTTCTTGAAAATGATGCTTTTCCTCTAAAAACTTAAGGCTTTAAATGATAATCTTACTGTCAGGGTCTCCTGCGCAGAGCGAGGCTTCAGTTGGAGCATCGTCTCCCTGGCTCGCAGGAACACAAAAAGTGTGATTGTGTAAAGTGTGTGTGTGTGTGTGTGTGTTTTTCTCGCGGAGGGTCCCTGTTTCTCCGTGGACTGGCTCTATCTCCGCTTACGCCCCCTTTAACTGGAGCCCGTTCATCCGATCCGCGCAGTCTCATTGGCCGCCGCGCCTCATCAATCCCAGGTGCTCCTCCAATAGCAGGTAGCGCCTCTCTCTCTCTCTCTCTCTCTCTCTCTCTCTCTCTCTCTCTCTCTCTCTCTCTCTCTCTCTCTCTCT